AGTTTGGTGGCGTTGGTACGACCTCCAAAGAAAGCATCTCTAGGATTCAACGGGTCAGGCATGTAGGCATGGGGTCCTTGCAGGGTAGTCAGGAAGGCTCTCAGATCACCGTTGTCTTTCTGTTGTTTCAGAAAATCGCATTCCCAGAGGGTCACCACTTGGTCGATGTCGGGATGTTGACGTAACACACCCAGGCGGTACATGGTATGATGGTATCGTTCCCAAGGGGGTGGTACCCAAGCTAGCATGGCGTTCACATCGACTCGTCTTGTAACAGCGAGTACATCCATGCCAGAAACAGCCCAAGTATTCGTACACGGTGCGTGTCTTGGCGTCGTAGCCATCTGCCATGTAACGACTTCCGTCAGCACAGTCAAAGCCTACTTCTCCACCATTCCGAGCATGTTGGATGTGGACCCCAGGGTGTTGATGCATGACCCAGTTGAGCCAGTGGAGACACTGAAGCGAGTAGCGACGCTGGGGACGATAACCTTGAGTAGGTAGGATGGCGATGGTGCGGGGTTCCAAAAACTGTTTTCGGAAGGTGAGCATACAAGCCATGGGTAGAGTCACTGCTTCATAGAAAGGGTCCACGTTGTTCTGTTGAATGAATATGTTGCGGAATGCAGCACAGCCTCGACGCAAAATGTCCACATCACTCTGACAGTAGGTCAACAATTCTTCATCCAGATCAAACACAGTCCCTTCAGCCACCCGTGCATCGTACCAGGCCAAGAAAGCTTTGCGTTCGGCAGAAAACATGCTGTCAGGATCGTAGGTAGACACGGGAGGATAAGGACCCACATAGCCTTGGTGAGCTTCGGTGTTGAAGAAGTGAGGGAAGTAGCCTTTCTTGAGTTCCGTCAATGCAAACGTTTTTGGAAACTGCTTCAGAGCCATCGTGAGGAAGTTGAGTGAATCCTTGAAAACAAGACGTCCCACGGTCATCTGCAAGATGTGATTCCCACGTAGTGTGACCTGGGGTGCTTTCACGAGATGTTGATGGAAGTACTGTTGGAGCAAGTGTCCATCATACCCTCGGTAGTTGTGAGCAATGACCAACACGTCGTCATCATCAATGGTAGGAGAAATGTCGTCTTCGTCGCCTTGTTCTTTGTCGTCGTTGTCTTGTTCTACATCATCATCATCATCGGGTTCTGGTGATACCAGTTTGGGTTGTTTCGAGGCACGGCCTGACGGCTGCTGCTGGGATGCCTTACGTTTCTTCTTCTGCTTCTCTTTCTTTTCCACCAGGGACATCAGCCAGTCGCCCATGTCCTTCAAGGTCGTCGATCCCCGAAACACTTTGATGCGGCTAGGCCCTTCTCCTTCCTTACGCCAGGGGCACTTGTCACACAGCTGATCCGAGGCCTCGGAAATACATTTTCCACATCCTAGATGCACCACACACAAGTTGGGAACATGAGTCCCTTGATCTTGAGTACATTCAAAGTCATAGAAGATGAACTGACGCTGTTGTCGTTCTTTGTCTTCATCCATTTTTTCACCGTCTTCATTTTGTTTCGGTGGTTCGATGACGGACATGTAACACTGGTGGTTGGGTTTCAAGGGTTCTTTGCAGATCTTACAGTCACGATTCGTGCCACACTGGTGGTTGGCCATGCCCTGGATTTTTCTCACGTTGACTTTGGCATAGCAACGATGACAGGTGTGGATGGTGGAGCAGGTGCTGGGATGGTTGGCGGAGGCCGTCCGATGGCGTTCAAAGCAAGTAGGGTTTCGGAACCATCCGCCACATTGGAGACAGGAGAGCCCTCCCCTGACCACGTCGCCACAGTATCCAAGACATTGGCACCAGTGGCATTGAAATTCTCGGGTGCAGCGATGATTTTCAGCGTGGGCGTAGCCTTGGTCACACGTTTCACAATAGTAGGGATAACCTGTGAAAGCAGGCATGGAGGTAATGACATCGTAATGGTGATGGTGATGATAGAGGTGAAGGATCTTGGTGGGTTGAGGCACTTCACTCTTGTACAGGAGTCGATTCAACACATCTTGGGAGTAGACTTTGAGCTGATAGTAAGGGGCCAAACGTTGACTGAACAACTCCCACGTGGCACGCCCTGTACAAGGACCTTCGGGGATCTTGAGTTGGCGAAACAAGCCCTTGGCAGCCTTCAGTTGCGCTGGTCTTTCTGCCTTACGTATGTATTTCCATTCCTTGGTCCATTCTTTGGTCACAGGATCGGGTTGGTGTGCGTGGTGACTGGCCACGACCAGGGCACGGGCAAAGCAGAGCTGATCCTCATTCTTGATTTGAACGATGCATTGTTTCTTTTCCAGGAAAGCGTTTAAGCCAACGAGGTGTGTTGCCCGGCCGTGTCCCTCACCGATACGATCAGGATCCTCTACATGCAGTAAGAAAATGTCCATGGTGTCATCGATATGTAAGTCGTGGTTGCTTTGTTGTACTTTTTCCACTTCGCCCATGATGTGTTCCCCCCTGGAGGTCACCCATCCGCCGAAACGTGATTCGAATGTCTGTATCCAGGGCGGGGTGTTCCAGGGCCAATCCCACGCGATCACCATCCTGGCCACCCACATCGTCTCTCAAATCTGCTAACACGGCATCAAACTGTTCTCTGAGAACGACGGGAAGGTCTTCAGGCTGTTGACGCTGCAGCCAAACAGGGTTGAACTTCAGGTGGTAGCGCTGGGTACCAGTCCGGAATTTCTTGGTTGTTTTTTTGAGTCGTCCGCTCCAACTCGTAGGGCACAGGCTCCTCTTCAAGTTCATCTTCGTTCATTCGTGGTGACGACATGGTGAGAACTGGTCAGAGCCACGCTGAGCCTGGTTTATATACATCACGTCACCCTATGACGTCACAATAGGTCGTGCCAGTGCGCACCATGAGCTCATGTGTTATTTATAGGAATGATGTCATACCCCATGACGTCACACTAGCCTGTTGAGTCAGGAGGAGAGTGGTGCGAACCGGATGCAACCGGTGCGAACCAGAGGCGTCAAAGTGACGTCATCAACCCCAGCTATATAAATTCAAGGTTTTCCAGCACTCCTCATCAGTTGCTCACTGAAACTGGAAGCATGCAGTCGTCTCCCGCCTCCGCCTCCGCCTCCGCGCCTCCTTCCGTTGCCGCCTGTGCGAAACAGATGACCACAGTTATCTACACTGTCCCAAGGTGACCTGTGCCGAGTGTGGTGCTCAAGGTCATCGCTATTACGTATGTCCCAAGAAGACCAAGGACAACAACAAGCACGATAACAACACCTGCTACAACTGTGGAAGAAACGAAGGTCATCTCAGTTACGCCTGTCCACATCCCTGTCGCCACTGTGGTCAAGAGGACCATAAGAGTATGAACTGCTCTAACAAGGGCCAGAAACGTCCGGCTCCCCCCACCTACCAGCCAAGTGAACCGCCAAAGAAAGTGAGTAAACGTGAAAGCCAACATTTACTGACTCTACTCCATGACAAGGTCCTCCTCGTTCAAGATCGCATAGACACCATGTACTCTCTACTTCAACGCATCTTGGAGTTTGTCGAACCCATGGACGATTCCAGTAGCAGTGCCTCCAGTGCACCACCATCACCACCATAGATACCTCGGTGATCTCTCACCCACTCATACCAACGGCCCTTTTCAGGGCCACCCACCTGGCTCGAAAGAATGCTCCATCCAATGTTGTTTTAACCACACACACACACACACTAACACTTGTCTAGCCACGCCATCGTGTCCGCCTCACCCCCTCTCTCCCTCCCTTCCCTCTCCTCCTCCTCTCCCTTCCCTTCCCTTCCTCTCCGTCCCGTCCCGTCCGCCGCTCGTCCGTTCCGCCATCTTGAAAGGCGTCTACGCTCGCGAGATCCCGCGAGAATCCACGAGATCCCGCGAGATCTCACGCGATCCCACCGGATGGGACGCCATCTTGAAACGCGTCCGCCATCTTGGCCCGGAGGTGACGTCATCGTCATGCGCGCGCACCCACCGGAACCGGACGTGACGTCATCGCGATGCGTGCGCACCCACCGGAACCGGAAGCACCGGAACCGGAACCCGAGTGATCTCCCCTGATGGCGGCACATCCGGTCCCCGTGGGTCGCCATCTTGATCCAAGATGGCGGCGCCCATGGGGACCGGACCGGTGCCGCCATCTTGAAAAGGCGCCAGGGGTTTGTCGAAAGAGGCGACTAACTGGATCGGGTGGTCAGGCTCGCTGACTCGATTATATACAGACCGCCGGCATAAAGCTGGAATATTGCTTTACTGCAACGTACAACTCTCACTCACTATTTTTATAAAATGTTTCAGAGCTTGATGATAATATACTCATGCCAATAATGGTTGTCACCCCTCTCCCCACCCCACCCCACACCCCTCCAATTTAAAAATTAAAGGTTGTGACAACCGTTATTGGTATGAGTATACTTTTCCTTATTGAAGGAACAGGAATTAGCTCTGAAATGTCGTATAAAGAGTAGAAACAGACTGTTATCCATAAAACGTGTCATGTAACATCGGAAGTAACTTTGTTTTCAAATCAATAAACATCACTTGTCAGTATATTAAACTAAAGTGCAAGTATTACCATTGAGAAACAATACGTACTGTCCTTGATGGGATGGCTGAGGCAGATAGATAGTCTCACAACAGGTCATGATCTCTCTGACTTGTCTGTCTCCTGCCTCCAGTTTGTAGTGTATCATATCGCGTATACCTAATTACAACATGTATTTCGAGCATCTGGTATAGGACCATGAGCCTTGTACCTTTTACTTCAATATAATTGCAACAAATGATTTCAAAATGTTTTTTGTGATGTCTTCCATCATGTCATCGCTTCCAAATTGCGCAGATCAATGCTGTTGATCATTGGATTGTATGTTCCTGACTCGATTATTCACAGACCGCCGCCATATAGCTGGCATATTGCTGAGTGCGGCGTAAAACTAAACTCCCTCACTCACTCAGATACATTTGAATTATTATTGAAGCGTTGGCTATGCGATGCATTTTCAGAGGACCTGGGTGATGTTGCATCAAGACTGCACCTTAATTGTGCACCACTGAAGAATGAGACGTTCCGTGTTTTGGACGTATGTACGGGGTTGAGCGCTGATCCAAGAGTTAACGTGATAGTGAGGCAGTCTCTGACATGTATTTGTGTCTCTAACAAAGACCAATACCCATGCATGAACATAAGATAAATGTAACATCCTGTGTGGACTTTGATTGTATTATAGAAATGTTCATGTTAAATTGCAAAATGCAGTATTCCAGTCCAAATGTTTTTGACACGACCAAGGGACCCAACTCTGCACAGCAAATTGTATCAACAGTGTTATTCGTGTTATCGCTAGTTTGGTTAGTCCGGGAGGTTTTCAGTTTGTATAATCCATAGATCTAGAGCCGCAAGGGTTGTCACAAAAGTATTTACTCACTGACACCAGGGGCAGATCCAGGATTTAGAAAAGGGGGTTGGGGGTGCACATAAATCATGAAGTCTAAATGTTAGGGGGAAAATGCTCCACATGGAAAAACAAATCTCGGAGGAAAAGGGGGAAGGGGATGCGCCACTGTTCACTCACTAGAACTTGCAAACGGATGGTATATTGACTCGGGACAACACAACATCAATTTTCCTCTTCCTTTTTTCAGTTGAAACTCATGAATGGTGAACGGACATATAATGGGTTGACAGGCGATGTTGCAGTTCCAGTTCGCGACGAAGCCCATGATGTCAATACAACATGTTGTGTGGTTGGTCCTGGAACAAACTGCCTCGACCTCTCCCAACGACAACGGACAGCCGTATGTTCACGCCCAGGTAATGATGTTGAAACAATGTGGCTAATGTATTTCCCTCTTCATGCCAGTGTGCATTTGTGCCTGTGGATAACGTCTTATGGGTTGAAGACTTAGAGCTCAAGTTGGCTAACATTTTGTAGGATACAAATATGCTAGAGATACTTCAAACGGTGTGAAGCGGAGAGTGGTTGTATTGGCTTTGTCACGAATGACTGCATGACTAGCAGACAGTGGTATCAGCCAAGGTGGCTCACTGATGCCCAACCTTTATCTAGCAGGCAGAGGTATCAGCCGAGCTGCTCACTGACACCCAACCTTTACCTAGCAGAATCTCGTATCAGCCGAGGCTGCTCACTGACACCCAACCTTTACCTAGCAGACTCTCGTATCAGCCGAGGCTGCTCACTGACACCCAACCTTTACCTAGCAAACAGTGGTATCAGCCGAGCTGCTCACTGACATTCAACCTTACCTAGCAGACAGTGGTATCAGCCGAGGTTGCTCACTGACACCCAACCTTTACCTAGCAGACAGTGGTATCAGCCGAGGTTGCTCACTGACACCCAACCTTTACCTAGCAGGCAGTGGTATCAGCCGAGCTGCTCACTGACACACAAACTTTACCTAGCAGACAGTGGTATCAGCCAAGGTTGCTAAATGAAAAGACTTGTGTATGGAATCTGGACAATAAATTTATTATTTGACAAAAAAAATAATGTACTTACACTCATATATCAGTCTTAATAATTTGGGAGATTGCACGGTAACATGGAGTATTTAAGTTGCCTTACGTAATGGATCCATGCCCGTAATATTTTGATAAATTGTTACCATTACAAAATCCAATTTAATCTCATTGTAGGTAAACCTAAAGCGAATCCTCACATGCGTTCGACAGGTCATGCAGATGAACCCACGTTGAGTGGTGTAGTAGTCATCGTTGTTGGTGTGATGTTGGCGGTTAGAGGCTTGTGAATTACCTTGGCTTACCTCTTTTGAAGGAAGATCGGACGATATTATACGAGTCCGTATGAACACCTGGCAATGGAGACAATAAAACGGTCCTAAATGATATCCACATGTTGCTTAATTTGTCTTGCCTGAGGTCGTCCAAAGACATAAAGTCACGCTTGACTTCATCAGTGTTCCATTCACGTCATGGCGTGGTAGTTTGATTGGAAGGTTGCCTGAAGGGACACGATAATTAGACATTACCGCTTTGTGAAACACACGATTAGTTGAATGGCGCTGACCAAACAAACGTAAACGATGGGACGCAACGTGTTACATTGATGACCTCTGGTTCCGAGGCGACTTAATGGTTGAATTTAAAATAACGAGCAGAAGGTACTGCTAAAATGTTCTGAGAGGGTGTCTTCCGATTTATGAGAAATTCTGGATAAAGTGTCACAAACTTTGTACGACTTTCTGCAAGTTTAGTGTTACTCTGTATGTTCAACCATAACCGTCTTCGTAAGGAACTGCTTCAGAAACGTTTTATTTTTCTGAGACAAGGTCTGTTTTTAATAACATCAATGAGCAAAGGTGAATGCAGCAAACATGTTCCTTTTATCCCACCAATGATATATCACAAGGACGTGTACGCACAAATGTACAGAAAGGTTTGTTTAGTGTTTAACGCCGCACTCGTCAGTATTTCGGCTTTGTCGCGGCGGTCTGAAAATAATCGAATCTGGACCAGACAGTCCAGCGATTGACATCATGAGCTTCGATCCATACAATTCGGACACGATCACATGTGTCTACCAAGTCATCGCACCACACCACCCGATCCGGTTAGTCGCCTCAAGCATGGGTTGCTGAAGACCGATTCTATCACGGATCTAAAACGTTTAATTGATTGTTTTATTCAGAAATGGTATCATGACATTACTTCAGGTAGTAAATTATCGCTATACAGTAATATCAAATGTGAATTTGGATATATATTATACTTAGATGCTTCACATCCAAACACTGTTAGGTATTTAACTATGTTACTAATTTCATGTCATAAATTTAAAAAATGAAACTGGGCGTTATGAAAATATTGATAGGCAGAAAATATACTGTATCTACTTTAAAGAAAATAATGTAAATGTAATTGAAGATGAATATCATTTCGTTTTAATTTGCCCAAAACATACTGTACATCGAAAACAACGCATTAAATTTTATTTTTGGAAGAAACCAAGTATGTTGAAATTCGACAATTATTTACAAACCCATCCAAAAATAGTGTTGCAAAATTATGTAAATACATTAAGTTATGCATGTGAGTACCAAAATGTTTTGTCAAGCCTCCTTTTGTAATTGCAAATTTTTTGTATATTTCAATGGATAACCATATTTTATCCTCTATACTCTAAACTGATGACGACCCGTGAAGGTCCGGGTTAGAATATTGGCCTTCAGTAACCCATGCTTGTAAGAGGCGACTAACGGGATCTTGTCAGAATCGCTGACTTGGTTGACACATGTCATCGTATCCCAACTGTGTTGAACTCTGCTGATGCTGCTGATCACTGGACTGTCTGGCCCCGAGTCGATTATTTACAGATCGCCGCCATATAGCTGGAATATTGCAAAGTGCAGCGTTAAATAACAATCAATCAATTTAACGCTCACCGTTTCACGAACACATGTTATCGACAGTATTGGATTGTGATTCAGACATACTTTTGATGTAGTAGAAATCGAACAATGAACTGAGATGTGTTATGGCTGGTGACATAAAAATCATTTTCCCCAAAAATGCTGAAAAAATATCCTCAAGTTTTACAGATATTGAACGTTCCAGTGACTAGCTGGTTACTCAAAAAATACTCGTCAGAAAATGTATGCCTTGAAGCGCGGGAAATATATACATGTACATCGACCGTGTCCAACAACAGTACAACATGAGGAGTCGAACCTGGTCTGGCAGATGACGTGTCAATATGTTGAACCTGGTCTTGTAGATGACGTGCAATATGTTGAACCTGGTCTGGCAGATGAAGTGCAATATGTTGAACCTGGTCTGGCAGATGACGTGCAATATGTTGAACCTGGTCTGGCAGATGACGTGCAATATGTTGAACCTGGTCTGGCAGATGACGTGTCAATATGTTGAACCTGGTCTGGCAGATGACGTGTCAATATGTTGAACCTGGTCTGGCAGATGACGTGTCAATATGTTGAACCTGGTCTGGCAGATGACGTGCAATATGTTGAACCTGGTCTGGCAGATGACGTGTCAATATGTTGAACCTGGTCTGGCATATGACGTGTCAATATGTTGAACCTGGTCTGGCAGATGACGTGTCAATATGTTGAACCTGGTCTGGCAGATGACGTGCAATATGTTGAACCTGGTCTGGCAGATGACGTGTCAATATGTTGAACCTGGTCTGGCAGATGACGTGCAATATGTTGAACCTGGTCTGGCAGATGACGTGTCAATATGTTGAACCTGGTCTGGCAGATGACGTGCAATATGTTGAACCTGGTCTGGCAGATGACGTGCAATATGTTGAACCTGGTCTGGCAGATGACGTGCAATATGTTGAACCTGGTCTGGCAGATGACGTGCAATATGTTGAACCTGGTCTGGCAGATGACGTGCAATATGTTAAACCTGGTCTGGCATATGACGTGCAATATCTTAAACCTGGTCTGGCATATGACGTGTCAATATGTTGAACATGGTCTGGCAGATGACGTGTCAATATGTTGAACCACAGCCTATGGGGAAAACTGTACGATACTGGAAATACAACACATGTTTGAGTTAGATCAGGCGAAAGAAGCACAATCATTATCTATTCACCAAAGTAAATACTGTATCCTTTTGAATGAACTGCCATGTGACCTCGAAATGTACACACAGCTAGTGAATCCCAGCCGACACATCTTGAGGAAGATGCCCTTACATCAACACAACATGCACACGTATGTCCGGCTGTATGCATGGAGGATTAACACTGCTAGTGACGACGTGTTGATAACTCTTGTTTGTTGTACGTTCTGAACTGGAATCTTTTCACGTCTCCTGAGATCGACTGTTTGTGTCTGGTTCACAACGACTCTCCACTGACCATGGAGTATCACATAGTCGCGTTGATTGGAGTGTTATATATGTATCAGACTCGGCTATCTACAGGTAAGGTATTGGTTAATCTATGTGTGGGTGCTATAAGAAATATCATAATATTACATGTGTCATCAGATGGCACTCGATTGTTCACAGTCTTCGTCCTTAGAGGAGGCAGGATCCGCTGTAGATGAAGTTCCAGTTTCATATCTTTGATTTGGCCGGGACATTGTTGCGAGACTGGCACACGCACGATGTAGTTACTGAGATAACGCACTGATCATACGAGTGAGTGAGTGACTGAGTGTGTTTGATATTACGCCGCTTTTAGCAATATTCCAGCAACATCACGGCGGGGGACACCAGAAATGGGCTTCACATACTGTACCCATGTGGGGAATCGAACCCGGGTCTTCGGCGTGACGAGTGAACGCTTTAACCATTAAGCTACCGCCCCGCCCCCTGATCATACGGTAACATACATTTATATGTAAGTGTGCGTACGTGTTTGGGTGTTGATCTGTGTGCATGCGTGCGTGCTTGAGCGTGTGTGTGTGTGTTGGTGTGTACGTGTTCGTATGTAACAACCAGCAGTTATTATGAGCTGGCTACAACTACTGTGACAGACAACTGGTGTTAACCAGATGGTTTATTCAACAGAGTCAATTACTGCATCCCCGTTCAGAAAGCCAGTCCTAGCGAGCTCCCCTTCCCGAGCCACAGACGGGGTCTGTATACACTCATGTGTAACTACAATGGCAGAACAGCCGACGGGGACTTCTTCGTTATGCAAGTATTCTGGTACAGAGACAATAGCCTCGTGTTCATCTCACCATCGGGGTCAGTGACCCCATCTGATCTGGAGGGTCGTGTCAGCGTGGTACATAACGCCTATCAACACAACATATCTATCAGCATCAACGCCAGCATAGACAATGGTTCCGTGTGGCGGTGCCGTGATGATTTTACCAGGCAAAACAGCAATGACATAGCTATCAGTAAGTATTAAGTAAACCATCGTGGCTACATTAATATCGAGATATAATGTTGACAGATTAATAATACTGTCAATAACATTGCCACAGGTCCCACGTACTTATAGTACTAGGAGGGACTATAGTGGGGGAAACAAATAATGCCATAGCGATAGTCTGTTGCGGCCAACTATTGCAATACAATTGCAGTGGGTTTTTTCGCCTTGAATTGTCTCATTTGAATCCATTTTCCTATGAATGTATAATTTTTATTACTCGCACGTGGAAAATACTGCAGTGTAATATTTTTACGAAAAATTTACACTAGTGTAATTAGCACGACAATGTGTGATACTCGATTCTGATTGGCTGAGAGCTCATCAAAACCGTACTTAAATGACAGTTTAAGGACCGCTAATTAAAGTGACCGATTCACCGCGTATGAATACAACGAACTCGTTGACCCTGTTGTTTGTAAACAAACATGTCTGACATCGGAGACTTCTACCTCGGCAGCATCTTTGATGTTTTTGAACTGAACAGCGAATGGTTCGACGATGAATTTCTGGAGCCTAACGCAAATGAAGAAACTTCGAAGCTGGAAAATTCTACAGGTAGCGATAATTCGTTTCACATTTCTTAAATTGAAAAGTCAGCAGGCGTCAACTCGAACGCTAGGTGTATGTCTATTCATATGAAAAGGAAAGAAAAAAAATGGACTGAAAATATTCCTTAATTTATGTCTTGTATTGTAGGAAATGTTTCCTTGCATAAATAATCACTTATTACTAAATTTAACGGCAGTTTAATTTATTCATAAGTAAATATTTCACTCAAATTTACGATTTTACTGTTTTAGATATAAAAAATGAACCTGCTACCAAGCGTTTCAAAACAGTGACCGACAATGATCTGGAACATATTGTTTTGGATTCGAGGAGCAAAACCACCCTTCAAACAACTGCGTGGGGAGTAAAAATCTTGAAACGTAAGAGCAAAGACAATCCTTTTAAATCAACAAACTGATCAAGATTTGGCCTAACATATCCTATGATAAACGAGGGTGATGTAAATCATCTTGAACATGTTAAATAAAGTTGTTACTTACCTTTTAACAAATTGATATTAAAACATTGAAGCGCACGTAAAATAATAATTTTTTTATTAAAATATATTTCCAGAGTGGCTACAATTTCACGAACACTCTCCCGAGTTTGAGACACTTCCAGTTGGTGAAATGAACGCTCTGCTGAAGCGATTCTACGCTGAAGTCCGAACTTCCGACGGGAATTATTATGCCAAGTCATCGTATGTTGGGATCCGAGCAGCGATCCACAGACACCTTAGACAGCCACCATTTAACATGAACATTAGCATTCTTCAAGACAAAGAATTTCACTCGGCCAACGCCGTTTTTTGCAGCAATGTTAAAAAAAATAAAGCAGTTAGGTCTGGATAATCCAGCACATCACAATGCCATTTCAGATGGTGATTTAGCTAAAATTAGAAACAAACAAAATTTGGAAAACCCTGTAGACCTTCAAAACAAAGTGTGGTTTGATTTGACCCTAGGGTTTGGACGAAGGGGCTGTGAGAACCAGAGGGAGTTGTCTGTTCATTCTTTTGTTGTCAAAACAGACGATGTTGGCTGTGAATTCATATCCATGACACATAGCGAATCCACGAAAAATCATCCTGGGGGCGTAGGCGATTCCGAGTACACAAAGCCACGTATATACGCGACAGGAACTCCCCCTCTGTCCTGTTGTATCTTTTCGAAAGTACATGTCCAAGTTAAATCCAGAAAATGAAGCCCTCTTTCAGCAGCCTCGTAAGAATGTGTGTGAGAATGATGAAGTTTGGTACACAAGTAAGCCCCTCGGTCACAACACACTGAAAACGATGATGAAACGGATCTCGGCCAGTTGCGAGTTGAGTCGGGTGTACACAAATCACTGTGTTAGATCCACCACCGTTACACTGCTTTCACATGCTGGGGTGGAAGCAAGGGAAATAGTGAAGATTACTGGGCACAAAAACTGCCAGAGTCTGTCCTCATATAACACTGATTCGTCAGCAGCGCAAAAGCGGCAGTATTCCGCCATACTTCAAACTGGGTCTAGCGGACATGACATCAACAACACACGTCCTAACCTGTCCGCTTCCATCCCCGCCGTAATGCCCAGTCCTTCAACTTCCACTGTCCAGGTTTCCCACATAAACGCTGGTATGTCGGGTCTTATCCAGATTGGGAATAGCAGCGTCATTATTAACAATTACTTCCACGAATAAAGTTAGCGGCGAGTAAACTTTGCGAGTTCATAACTTGAATGGGGCGAGTCGATTGTGATAGAGAAGGGGAGGTGAATAATTCACTTGATAAAATCAAATAACTGTAGTTGCTCACAGTATAAACTGTATATTTTGTGATCTATTTATGCTACTTGTTACATACTGGAACCATACTGGTTCCTGAAATAAAGCAAATTGTGCTGTTATAAATGTCTTATTTTGTTCATTATACAACCTGTCCCTCAACTGGACGATTCCAAGCAATTTCCAGGAAAAAGGCCACTTCACGCCTTGTGTTCTTGCGCTCCAAAGAGTGCGGTTTTAAAACGCTTATCTGTCGTGCTAGAATGAAGATAAAGCTACTCTGTTTTCAATTTTGCGGTCCTTTATCGTTGATTTAAGACCGCTAAATGTTCAATTTAAAAACCTCACGCTAACGCGTTCGGTTTTTAAATTACATTTAGCGGTCTTAAATCAACGATAAAGGACCGCAAATTGAAAACAGAGTAGCTTTATCTTCTAAATCCTGTCAGAGAGCTTTGATCATCAAGTGGATGTCAGATCCAAGTACAAGGGCACTGATGTGTGAGTTGTACTCGTTGTATTCCAAGTCCGTCCTTCCACAGAGATAAATGTTTGCGGCAACCGCCCTCTTTCAATAGGATATTTAACTAGCTTATTTCACTGTACCACATTTCAACACCGTATGGTTTAATATTTATTTCAATGTGTCCTGTTTATTGAAAGTATGTGTTTTACACACCGGCTACATGCGAGACATAAGGTTAACTGTCAACATTAGTATACCCAGTCTTGGCGAGAACTCGCATTGTTACCCTCAAGGCGTTGCCGAATTCTGAACAGTGTGAGCAAATAGTCCTGATTATGAACTGACATGGCGGCCTCAAAACTATGCATTCTGTTAGGGCTTTACAGAAAATCTTCAGACAGTACATCATATTTTCTAACGTGTTTTTTTCAGGAATACTGTTTTGGAATATGTGAATACGCCATGGGACAATAGTTCAGGTATGGTATTATTACAGTGTTGATATATGCAATAAACAAGCTCACTGAAATCTGATATTTTCTTCACATAATAATAACGAGGGTACTTTTAGTTGAAAGTTTTACCGCGCAATACTCCACACCACAAAGGGGCATGCTCAAAGCGTGCACAGACACTACAACATTATTACCCCGGATAACCGAAGCTGCCTGTTTGACGCTAGAAGGTTATAGTCACATGACTTTATCCCACCGGGTACCCATTTTCTGCTTGGTGAACAGAGGCAATTTTTATCAACCTCTCTCTCCTAAGGTGAGACCACATGTATCACATGTGTTTCGTTGTGGGGCACGACTGAAGTTCTACAAACACTCCGGAGTCAAGCTGCAAAACACAGTCACCCATCCATGGACTCTCCCAACTCAGCGTTGCTTTGCTACAACTGATTTGTGATCTGGCCCAGATTTCTCGAAACAAACTTAAGTCTGAGGTTTAACTTAAGTAATAGTTTTAACTCTAATTTGAGAAAATGCATTCCCCAGAATGAGCTGCAGTTGATATTAACCTCAAACATAGTAGACAATTAGAGTTTGGTGGATAGATTACTTAAGTTGTTTGGAGTTTTTATTTGAAAAATGCAGTTGAGTTAAAAGTTCAGTTGTTTCAAATTGTCAAATTCAGTTTGAAATTTAAGTAAAAACTTAAGTCTGTTTCGAGAAATCGGGGCCTGAGCTCTATGCACAGGACCACGTGCCACCATTCAATAACATGTATTGTATGTGATTCATCAATACAGGTATTCAGACTGGATACAATCTGAACGAATATCACACAAATGTGATAAATGCACTGTTCCTTATTTTCGTTATTCACCCCCAGTGATGCAGGAAAACGTGCTCTACTTCCGGTCATCTGACGTCCTGTCCCCCCGACCCTCCCAGCGTGTCTCCCCCCACCAACACAGGCATAGATTCACTTGTACTTCCCTGCATAATTTATTTTATACGTAATAAACCTTCTTCTTTCAGTAATGTGCAGTTTATACTACATTTCCCAGATATTTATGTATTTCTTCACATTGAGTCTCAACGACGGTGGTCCTGTCCTATTCAGATCATTAGATATAATTATCTGTGTAATATCTATATCTGTAGGAGACATTTTTGTTAACACACAAAAGGGATTTTTATAACTCAATTTTTATTTAACAATTTTCATCTATTTGCTGTTTATAACTTGTGAAAATTACCGCACATATTTGCAGTCATATTACTTAATCAGAATGTGTGTGCAGAGACGCCCACAGCTGTTAGGATTTACAGGAAAAGTGGGTGCAAAACCACGACTATGAATATTAAAGACCTGTGTCTAAGTGTAACTTGGTTGAACATAAAATTTCATTTAAAAAAAAGCCATTGGTTATGTTTTTTAATTAACTAAAATCAGTAATTCAGGGCATTCATATAACGTTTAGACCTGTTTGTGAAAAAACAAATAATTATTTGTTTATAAAACGCATTCGATTAAAGTCAGCACCAAGCATATTTATGTCATTATCATTACTGGTTAGAATGTGGCATTCAAGTAGCCTAATACCTTATGGGGACAATCCATACTACTGGCTGGCAAACTTATACTATGACATCACAGTCTGTGATGTGACCCCCACTTGTTTGTGACGTCACACAACCACGTTCTACTTGTGTTTACCACACCGAGTGTCTCAAGGAGCCGTATGAATCCATCGCGCGAAGTTTTGACAGAATGATGTCAGATTCACGTCTGCTTGTTTACATCATGTGACAGTCACGTGGTATAAAGTTTCGCCTCCAAACCGTAAGAGTGCTTTAAATTCTAAATATAGCAGAGGGAATCCCCTCTTTACGACCAATGTCAGCTCTAAGAGTTACGCTCTAAGAGTTTCCTTTTCCTCTTAGCTAAGAGTTACGCTCAGAGTCATTATAACTACACTTTTAAGTGAAACTCTTAGCTGAGAATTTTCTTAACGACTTAAGAGTATTCTTAAGAAATTTATGAGAATGTTTATAAATACGCCCCCAGATGCAGTTCACTCGCACAAGTAATGGTTTGTAACAGTACAAATTGAAAAGCCCTTACATGTTTGACATGCGATCTCGATTGATTCTATTTCATTTTAATCCTTTTGAACTAGCGTGGCTCTTGTCTCTCACACCAGGCTGGCAGGCCGTGGTGTAACTGGGCTACCGTTCAAACCGGCGTTACTTCCACCTCACTAACTCATCTTCACTTACTCCATAAACATTCAGGTCTCCCCGCAGAAATATTTTAATTGCGTAAGCGTCTTCTTTCTTTGAGGGCCGCCGGGGTAGCTTAGTGGTTAAAGCTTTCGTTTGTCACGCCGAAGACCCGGTGTTCGATTCCCCGCATAGGTCAATGTGTGAAGTACGTTTCTGGTGTCCCCCGCTGTGATATTACTGGAAGCGGCGTAATACCTAACACGCTCACTCACTTTCTTTTGGTGTATCTTTTTACTATATTTCCAGGATTATATGCGCAAATATACAAGCCCATGAGCGCCTCTGAGCAGCGTGTGTCAACCAGTGATGTATTCGTGGATGAGTACGCCAGACCTTGCAAGATACCTCGAGTTCAACATATGTCATGAGTCCGATGAAATACACTCGGCTATTTCCTTGGAAACATACTCAAATTCATCTACATTGTATTCCCTTACACAGTAACACTGTACTGACAGATTGAAATTTAATTATAGAAGTTTTGTGAACGTATTTATTGATATATTTGTTTATTATTTTACGAAAAAGATACAGATGAAATGTTTTAAATCACTTTTATGTATGTGTTCAACCGCCTGCATATCAGTTCAGCCTCCACGGAAGTGGGCGATGGGGTGACCTAGTGGTACTGGCGGTCTCTCGTCACGCCGAAGGTCCGGTTCTATTCCCCACATGGGTACAATGTTAGAAGCCCATTTCTGGTGCCCCCGCCGTGATATTGCTGGAATATTGCTAAACGCGGCGTAAAACTAATTTCACTCTCTCCACCGAAGTATTGAGAGTGTGATCATATGCTCAGATATATGTTTTACAAATACTCGATAGTTAGTGTTTCTGTGTCATATATCAATCCCCATTGTACATGTGTCCTCTATAGAAATGTGTATGCTACCATATAGTGTTCATGTTATACGCCGTTATGTGAATTCCTTGCAGATACGTTTTGGGTAATTACGGAAAGGAAGATATAGTTTGACAAGTAATGTGTTCCAGTTCTCTAACATGTCAGCTGTAGACGACTAACGGGATCATCGTCAACAGTCATCGTATCTCACTGTAGATAGATGCCCATCGCATCTCACTGTAGATAGATGCCCATCGCATCTCACTGTAGATAGATGCCCATCGTATCTCACTGTAGGTAGATGCCCATCGTATCTCACTGTAGGTAGATGCCCATCGTATCTCACTGTAGATAGATGCCCATCGTATCTCACTGTAGATAGATGCCCATCGTATCTCACTGTAGATAGATGCCCATCGTATCTCACTGTAGATAGATGCCCATCGTATCTCACTGTAGATAGATGCCCATCGTATGTCACTGTAGATAGATGCCCATCGTATCTCACTGTAGATAGATGCCCATCGTATGTCACTGTAGATAGATGCCCATCGTATCTCACTGTAGATAGATGCCCATCGTATCTCACTGTAGATAGATGCCCATCGTATCTCACTGTAGATAGATGCCCATCGTATCTCACTGTAGATAGATGCCCATCGTATCTCACTGTAGTGATCATATGCTCAGATTTTTGTTCATAACAAATACTCGATAGTTAGTGTTTCTGTGTCATATATCAATCACCATTGTACATGTGTCGTCACTGTATATGGAAATGTGTATGCTACCATATAGTGTTCATGTCAAACGCCGGTATGTAAATCCCTCGCAAATAACATGGTAATCAGTAGAGTATTTACAGAAAGTCGTATTTGTGATGGAATATTGCTGAGTGTGGCGTTAAACAACAAAGACAGGAGCAATCAGTTGTAGCGACTTGTTTATTGTGTTTCTCAGTTTAACCCTTAATATTGATGAAACAGATCAATATCGGCGTAACTACGCACGCCTTTACGCCTTCGTTTACTGATATTGAGTGAGTGAGTTAATATTTATCATCACATCGGCAATATTTCAGAGAACAATAAATAATCAGTAAAGATCAATAATATTAGAAGCTATAAAACTGTTTACGATGAAAAGTAAAACTACTAGTGTATCACAGATAGAGACACAAAACTAGCTTGTAACTAAAACTTTATAATGCAAGGCAACACAATATATAACCAGGCTGTAGATCGCCAACAACTGAAGGTTGATCCCAATATCAGGGACCATGGAGACTTACAGTGCCTTTGCTACCTACATGGACCTTAGTTGGATTTACACCACCCCTTCAGCCGCTGGCGATTGTAGGAAATATTTAGCCGAAATTTAATGTAACAAAAATACTACGTTAAAAAAATATGGTAAGCTCAAATTTAACTTTGAAAGTTTTGGGACTTACGTTACTGATATTGAGAGAGCCCAGCTTATAAGGGAGGTAACTCGTGAAAGAATGTTGATGCGCACTTGAAATAGACCTCTCATCTGTTCATGGCAGTGGTGACTGGAAATACCGATAGGGTATTCAAAATGTCGGTATCCCTTTGAAGGTTAAACATCATTATTCGAACTGTGCGCGTGAGTGCGTGCGTGCGTGCATGTGAGTATTGACTGCCGGCCAGACAATCTGGTGTTTGACAGCATGGTCTATCAACGCAACAGAATGAACTTCAGATCCCGTTAGTCGCCTTTCATGTTACCACATAGGAATGGTTTATAAATCTGCTCCCAAGGGAAGCAACTCTGCAATAAGAATTGTGTTGCATGAGACGATTAGCCAGCCATGTGTGTCTGTCCCAGGTTACACACCACCAAATGTTTTCCCACAGACTTCTATAGTAACCTTATAATTTTTTTAAAAAATAGACAGGCTATCAACAGCCATTCCATATACACATGGGTACACTCTGGCCTTTAAACTACCATAAAAACACAATATCTGGCCAACTTGTCCGGCTCGTTTTGCGAGCACAGGAAGCGGAACACATCGACCCCAGTTTCGCACCAAATGTCACCTACTGGAAAATATCTGTACACACAATAAGCATAAGTGATGGTGATAAAAATGACAGCACAACATATTATAAATTGTGGTCAGTTTTAATTACTGGTTGGATGTGCTTTTGAAAAACAAACATCTCACACTATTTCATCTAATCACAGCTGTCACATGTCTCTGTCTCTCTTGACTTGTTTACATACGGACCGGCTCAACGAGCAAGCGATACTGATTTAGTGTAGTGTAACCTCCCAGGAGTAGTGTTTGTGTATCAAGTCAGCCATGCTTACAAAGCTCACCGTTGTTGCTGTGAATACAGCTAAAGAACGTAGTTAAGCACCCCCTGACATATCTCACGATTGAATGAGCCCCGATCTTATCCCTCTGGAGCATATCTGGGACATTATTGGTCGTCGCGTTTAACAATGGGAACCTCCTGTACAGAACCTGGCCCAACTAGAAGCTGCTTTACACGAGGAGTGGCGTAGACTGCCCCTTTAGAGGATCAGGGGGCTGACAGTGGTATGAGGAGGAGAAGTGCAAATTGCACTCGATATTGACCTTGAATCGTGTAAGACACACAATATGACATTTTGAATATTGACATTCACCAATAAATTCAACATTAAACATTCCAGGGTCATACTTGTAGACATTGTTTTGTATGAAAATGATTGGGCTTTTTTTTAATGAGCAATTATCATCATAAATCAACATGGATTCCAATCATTTTGTCGTTTTTCAGGGTCATACGGTTCAGAAAAACTCATGTTTTTCCATCGT